GTAATGGAGTGGACACCATTACAGATGGACTCTTATTTCCTGCCTATAAACTGAAAGAGAAAGAGCTTATAGACTTTGTCTCAAAGCAAGTCTTATATGGAAGTAGCCTACTTAAAGGTGGCATATTCTGACTTCTTCAGAGAAAAGTAGTAATACTAGAAACATTTGGGATTGATAATCTGCATTATATTTTTATTAATTTGATTTTAAAGATTTTAGGAGAAAGATGAACTATAAATGTATTCTATTTTCAGTTAATCATCAAGCATGTATTAAATACTTATGAATCTGGCACATCTAAAATTAGCAACTAAGAAATGTTCTAAATATATGATTTGAGAGTTGAAAGAGAGCATTATGTTTATCTTATATAAAAATGAGAGTTTTGTTTTCTTTTGTTCCTTTTTTATCAGCACTCATGCCCTTCTGTGACTATGCAGGTGTCTCTTCTAACAAACCTGTGGCTTTCAGGGATGCAGCTCTTTCTGCTGCTCTATACAAGACTTTCCTTCCCTTTTTTCATAATAAAGCTGCCGTTTGGGTATATTTTTAAAAAATTAAAGTATTAGAATGTTATAGAGACATGATGAAATATGTGTTTAAAGGTAACTTTAGTAATAATATGCCTATCCTTTATGTATATGGTGAGAGAGAGAGAGATTCATTCTTAGAACGGCTTACATGTCGTGAGTCCCTCATTGTCCATGGTGATCAGATACGGTGTTTTCCAGTCATCTCGGGATTTTGTTTTCGTTCATAGATTTCTCCCCATTTAGTCTCATTATCCTAAAAAATCCTTCCAGATAAACTTTATTTCTCCTCATTTGTTCTCCTTTTTCTTTCTTTTTTATAAATCTGGTCACCATAGGAAAGAGAGCAGCCATTCACTTAACAGAAAGTCTATTTTAAGTTCTGGTTTCTTGGGGGGAGGTTGAGACTTTAATCCCTCATCTCCTTTTCTTTAACAATGCTTACTGCCAGGTAGTCAGTGGGAAAGTAGAAGAGGAACATTCAGAAAGAAAACATTCTCAGTAGAAAGTAATGGCCCATTATGATGAACAAAGGGAATTTTCCTGGGGACCACCCTGTTACATTCCCACTATTCATTGTCTCGCTTGGAAAAGGCTGAGGTTGCTCACAAGGCTATGGTACTTTAAAATTATCTAACATTTAAGTCAAATTTTTTGAGAGCCTCATAAAAAGTATATAAATCATTATATACTTTGACTATAAGTTTATATTTAATACTTTGTTAAACAGGACTTCCACAATCTAGAATTGTGGAGTTCTCAGCAAATTAAAATGCTTTGTATATTACTCCTACCTGACTTCCAACTTAGCACCTCTGTGTGTCTGTTATTTTTACATGAGTCATTTTATATATCTTAATTATGTGAAGTGACTTGCAAACCATTAGTAATTGTTAAGTAACCTGTGTGTGTGTGTGTGTGTAGCTCCTTGGTTTCTTTTTTGACAAAGCTGCAATGGAAGATCATTAAAATAACAATACTCACCTTGCCACTAATCCTTGTTAATGGATGCCTCTTGCTACTGAAAGATATAATCAATCGCTTTCTTTATTTTCCATCAATATTAACTTTCTTAAGATTCTCTATGCAACTTATGAAAAAATATGATAGAGAATTAAAAGTTTAGTCATATCTAAGGAGTATGCATGTGTCCATTATTTTTGCACCAGAATTTTCATTTATTTCATATATATAAAAGGTAAATATGAACATGTGCATATTATGTATGTGTTTGGGAAGAGAGGCAGTATACACTTACCCATCTGGTCAAATAATCAAATTAAAACATAGATTAATAGGAGGGGGAAAACACATTCAATTTTGTATGTGTGGGAAATCTGCATAGAAATTACGATTTAAAGCCAGTGGAACAAAATTGAGGAATGGGACCTGGAGCGTCAAGGAGAGAGGAGGGAACTCGCCTGATGAAAGCACCAGATTCCCTGTAATTACATGTTGCTCTGCCATATAAAGAGTTTTCTTGGATAGGTTATTTCTGGATATAACCCTAAATCTGGACAATATCACCAGTTTTCATTGTTTTAGAGACTAAAGGGAGTAGTAATAATTTCTCTGAGCCTGCAAGACTTCAATTAACCTTAGCCTGAAATAATTCTCATGCCAACATGGTATATCTTGAGTAGGTCTGTTGTACACATACTGGGAGACTTAGCCCTCAAGTACCAGGTTTGCATAATTATTGGATATATTCTGATTGTGGCATTTTATTTACCTAGGGTCGCATTTCCATTTTCCATCATATACAATATGAATATTCAGAACTTTGAATAACTGCTTTTTTCTTGTTTCAATGTTTCTCATATATATTTGTGTGTGTATACACACACACACACACACACACACACTTCCCTTGGTAATCAAAACTAAATACTCACTTTAATAAATATACATAAGTTTATTAATTTTTTTAAAGATTTATTAATTTATGCACACAAGAACTGGGGTACAGGCCAGAGGTGTGGTGAGAGGATTCACCAGAGACAGAGTGGGGAACAGAACAGGCAGAATGACTGAAATACAGTGCTGAGGGGAGCAGCAGGCAAGACAGAAGAGGTCTGCTGTGCCATGTGATTTAGCATCCTGCCCGGGGATCGAACTCATGCTGCAGTGGCTGCTTTATAGCACTGAGACTTTATAGCACTGAGACTTAATGCCTTGTGACACTAGGGAGGCCCAATAAGTATGCACAACAAGATAAAACTGCAACATTGGTTTCTTTCTAAAGTGTAGTTTCTAGGTAGAACCATCAAACTGGGTAAAAAAGGGGTGATGATTATATCATCTTTCTTGGCCACTCTCTCTTTGGAGTTTGATTTAGAAAACACAAATAAATAGATCGTACAGTTGGATATGATATTTGCTGTTATGGCATCTATGTTAATTCAAAAATGTGCTTGGTGAAATTTTTTTTTTTTTTAACAAGGTCTCAGAACGCATCTAGAGGATACATTCATTGAGTTCCATTTCAAGTTTCTGAAAACCTTGGTAATTGTATCAGTTGTTTGTTTGTTTCCTTTTTTTAACCATTTAATGGCGCATACTAATACCACCAATGCTATTTGTGCATATGTGTTTTTTTTTAATTTTTTGAAAGGTTTATTTTTATTTATTTATGCATACAAGAACTGGCCAGAGGAACAGGGGTGAAATGATTCACTATAGACAGAGTGGGGAGCAGAACAGGAGTATCTACTGAAATATACTGCTGATAGGAACAGCTGGCGGGTCAGGAGAGGTACGCTGTACCATGTGGATTAGCTCCCTTGTCAGGGATCAAACTCAGGCCACAGTGTCTGGTGATAGCTTGATAGCACTGAGACAACCTCTGCACCACCAGGGAGATCCTGCTTGAGTTTTTTAAACCAAAGTATTAGCTGGTTTTTCTTCTTTTATTTACTTGTTCTTTCACTGCCTCATTTTTGGATATTCTTATAAATTTCCTCATCTCTTTTAATCCTGTAGCTTTTAATTATTTGATTTGCAGGTAAGTCTGCCCATTACCCACCCCTCCATCTCTTTTCACTTTTGAACTCTGACAACATTTTTCTTCCATCATTTTCTTTGCCAATCCATGCCATTCTTTTCCTTATCCTTTAGTTTACCCTTTCTGAAAATGGCAATTTTATTTAAATTTTTTTTATTAAGAAAAAATTTTTTTCTTTAAAAAAATTAATGAAGGCATAGGATGTGATAAAAGTTCTGTTAGTTGCTAGGGATATGGTGATGGGTACAAGAAGAGTCTCTAATATAACATCTTACAAGGACAGAAATAATTAGATATTACATCTAATACAATATGTTAAGAACCATGGAGTTATACAAGAACATCTAGGTATACAAAGCAGATACCACAGTCAAGCCTGGTTTTAACAAGAATTCGTGGATATGAACTGCTCAGGTGAAGGAGAGGTAGGAAGGAAGTTTTCCAGTCATACAAGGCCCAGAATGGATAGAGAGAAAGTATCTGCATGACACTTGGTTAGTATTGAAACTATTTCAGTTTTACTGAATGCATACTTACATTACTTTCTGTGCAGCTACAAAACTTTTGAGGTCGTTATGTATTTCCTTGGCTCAATATACATTTTTTGGTCACTTCTCACATGCCATAATTCAATTTGTAGATAATAGGTGCTTTATACCTGTTATTGACTAATATTAGGTGCCTGAGGCAGGTATGCAAATTCATTTCCAAGTTTGTCATAATGAGTGAGGATTGATATGTCTGTTTTTCCTCATATGGGGAAGTCAGGATGTGATGATTATAGTGTTTTATTGGCAAATATTCAAACTCAGATTACTCTTGGTAAACTATGTGGCAGAGTATCGATGTTACATTATGCAGTTATGTTAGGCAAAGGCCTGCTGTATTCTGGAACAAACCGCAGTGTGAATTTCAAAACATTGGCTCCTGGCATTAAAGTGATGGGATGTGTTTTATATAGTAAATGGTCTTTTTCCCTCATATTAAAGATGAGGAAACTGAGAAACAGAGAGATAATTAGTAAGAGAATTGAAAATGAGCTGTGATAAAGATTTTTTAATCTCAATTTAATTTTTTTAATACTTTTGAAAATAACTACTCTGATATTGTATTGCTTACATAAACTATGCTATCAATTTTTTATTAATAAACTAGCTAGCATGGTTATATGAATTCTTTTAAAAAGAAAATTAAAAAAAAAACATCAAGTGAACTATTAGACACCTGATTTTTTCTTTAATAGTCTAAGCTAAAAGATAATTGTTGGAAAGAATAGAGAAATTTTCTTTTTTCTTTTTGATGTCCATGGTGACAGAGCTAAACACACTGACTTATTTTTGTGATCTAAGTCCTCTCTCACAAGTGAAGAAAGATAAAGCTCCAGTTTCTTGCTCCTCTTTGGCACAGATAATTTTATTTGAGGCATACTAGTTTAAGTTAATATTATGTTTATATTAAAAAGGCAATGAAAATATCAGTATCCTTCTTTTACAAGTGAGCGTCTTGAGAGCTAGGATTGGACTGATCATTTCTTTAAGGTCTCTCAGTTAAGTGGCACAACTGACTTCAGAACATAGTGACAGCAATGTTCTAGTCTGGCATTCTTTGCACTTAACAGTAGGAAGAAAAGAACAACAGGAGGGTTAGCAAGAAGATAAATCTAATCTTCATATTAGTCTGCTGAAATAGGTATTATTCCCATTTTACAGTTGAGGAAACTGAATCTCAAAGAAGATCTGAATCTGGCTTATTGTTGTATATCTAGTATGAGAGATGCCTGACTTTCCACCATTGCACAAAACTGATTCCATTCTTTTCTCTCACATAAATATTTTTTTTAGTGGACATTGCAAAATTCACTTGAAATTTTATTGTTATACGAGAAACAGCTCAGAACACTAAAACATGATCAAACATAACCCTGGCTCTGCACCATGATGTGTTGGTAGTATCGACACACTTTCACCAAAAAAAAAAAAAGTAGATTGTTTCTGGAATAAAGTGAAAGTAGGGAATTAAAAGTATTTATCAAAACTGAAACAAAGCCATGTTTTGTAAAGCACACAAATAGCAGTGCCTTGGATCAAAGATGTGATCTTACTTCATAGTAAAACAGGTCCTGCAAGCCCAGGTAACTCAGGAAGCAGAGTGGTAATTATTCACAGAAGAAAGCAGGTAGTATACTGTTACAATACTACAGTAGAAAGTCAGAAGGTCACAAAGCGTGCAAGGTAGCTGACACAACCTGAAACTGCTTGGCCCCCTTTAAAAGAAATACAAAAATGGGAGAGAATGAAGCAAGTTTACCTAACACATCTTTGCAAGGTAAGTGCCAACACTCCCTGAAATGTTGTTAATCAGAAATTTAAGCAGTGTGGATTACCAAGTGAGTGAATATGTGTGTGTGTGCCTGTGCGTTTGTGTGTTTGTGCACAAGTGTGCCCTGTGGATTTTCTACGTGAACTTTGAGGGTGGTGAATGAGGCAGGATTGTTGTTGTTTTAGAGGAAGCCAGCCTGCTGTCCCTGTAGCGCTCGACAACCTGACCAACACAAATTTGGTGGAGAATGGGGAAGCCTTTTCCTTGCACTCGATGTAATGCTGAAGGATTGGGCAGCTGACTTCCAATTCATTTTCATGTTAGCCCTTTTTCACCATTGATGGAGTATTAATTTTTGTCTCTACCAGTGGGATTTTTATTTGTAATCAAGTTTTGCCATCTCTTGTGTTTGCCAACTAAGTGTTCTTGTAATTAGTGTAGCATATTTCTAAGTAGAAAACAGGATCTCAGGGGAGAGAGCCTATCAGCTGGGGAGAGTGGTTTATGTTACAGGTCTTACTTAATCAGATACCTTTGTCCTTTGAAGGGATTGGCTTTGTTGACATTGGCCTGAGCTGCTTGGGTGTCCATGGTTAGGCTTGTTGATAGAAATAAATACAACATTCCTCATGCATTTTACTTTTTTTTTTTTGCATGAGGAAATTTTTTAAAATAAAAATAGAAAATAGAACTAATGTTTATTTGTTGCAATGGTTTTGACTATTGTACTTTACTTTTCAATGAATTATTTACCACCTTTGCAGAAGACACTTTGATCAAGGTTTTTTTTTTTTCAAAAAAAAAAAAAAACTACTTGACTGTGACATATCTATTTGTTTAATTATATTCTTAGGAAGCTACCACCAAGAAAATCCCCAAGCTACACAGTTTCCCATTAAGTACATATAATCAAGCATGTAACTATATCTATGAAATATAACACATAACAGAATAACAATAAAATCATCCTAGACTTGTCTAGTTACAAAAGTATATTATCTTCTAGAATGCCTATGCTTTCTTCTCTATTTTACTTATTCCTTTCGCTACTTGACCTTTTTAAATTCCTAGAATTGACTTAATTCTGTATGTTGCCTGATTTATTTTAATTCATGCATAAAATACTGTTATAAAGCATTTTTGTTTAAAAATTCATTTAAAAGTTATTTAGTTCATTCTATTGAAGAAAAATAAGGGGGAAGGCTCATTTAGCATGATCCTGTGAAAAATTTAGTTGTATATAGTTAGTTTGTTTTTGGTAATATGTTCCACTCTAAAAGGGTAACTTTCCCTTTCTCTGATATGTAGCATATATGTATGTATCTAGCAACTATTTCAATATCACTTATCATCTCTCTATATATGTATATATATACATATAATTACTTTCAGAATTAGTAATCAGTAACTATGAGGAAGCATGCAAAAAAAAAAAACAACAACTATAATAAATAATTTGAACATTGTGGTTTGAGCTGGAAAATGATATGCCCAGATCCATAAGCTTTCTGAGAATATTTGTGAGATTAATTTTATCCAAAAGAATTTTCCTTAATGCATACCATGAAAAATCTTTAATGAGGAATGTGTTTTCCTCAGATGTCATCTGGGTGGAAATGTATCCTTGGTAGGTCTACAAAGAATTCAGATCTATCTTACTGAAGTATTTCCAGTTATATTTGTCTTAAGATTAACTGAACCTATTAATCAGGTAGGAATTAATGAGAAATGATGGCACATCATTTGCTGGTTTTAAATTATTTCTGGATTATTTTTTAAGTTATAAAGGAAAGCACCCTAGGGATGATTTGCAACTTTATTTGTATGTGTGAGGGTACGGTATTTTATAATTTTGTCTAATATCACATAAAACATATCAAGATATATCTTCGAGTCTTAATTTATGGCAGACACTACAATTATTCTGTTTTCTGTATAACTATCTACGTCTGAAAGTAATTTTAAAAAGTGTCAAATTAGATGAAAAAGTCATTTTTAAATGTTGTTTTATTTTGCCTTTGACTTAATAGTATTTTTTTTAAAAGATTCAGAGGTTTTCTGAAATAATGCTAATTATCATCAGCTATTCTTATAAATGAGTGTTTTCTGACATAATGACTATATTCAACTACTGTGTTTTATTCGTTAAACATATGGGTGATTTATGTAGTTTGACTATGAAGATAATAAATGACAGTAGATTATCATTAGAACTCCATCATGTGCTTTGAATAATGATTTTCTAAGGCCATATATCTAAATTTTCTAGATTAATTGGGCTCTCTCTACTCAAAACTGAGAGAGCTTAGCCATAGACATTGTCAAATGTTATTCATTTTAGTGCCTTTTGCTGTATATCTTGTACCATTTTTTACCCAGGAAGCTAGCTGAAAGTTTCCTGGTTAGTGGAGCCCATATGTTGTCAACAATTATATTTCTAATGGTATTGGGAACTTTTTTCCCCCACAAATTAAAGTCATTCCAAGATTATCTTCAACAATGTTGTTAAGAAAACAAAATTCCTAATAACCTTGAGAACTACTTTGTTTTATTCAACTATTCAAGGATCAGGCAGCATCCCATCTAGCAGGTAAAAAGACATGGTGAGAAAGTTGCAGAAAATGAAAGGTTTTTGTAGTCATCAGAAAGTGAGTGGGACAAGGTTTTTTAAGCAAAAGAAAGCATTATTTTAGGGACTTGCCTGGTGGCGCAAGGGGTTAAGCATAGCACTGTGAAGCTATCAGCAGCCTCTGCAACATGAGTTTGATCCCCTGCCAGCCAGGAAACTATCCACATGGCCGGCCAGGGATCTAACCCACATGGCAAAGCAGACCTCTCCTGTCTTGCCCACTGCTCCCCCTCAGCAGCATATTTCAGTCAGTCTGTCTGCTCTGTTCCCCACTCTGTCTCTGGTGAATCCTCTCACTCCCCTCCATACTTCTGGCCTGTACCCCAGTTCTTGTATCCATAAATAAATAAATCTTTTTTAAAAAAGAAAACATTATTTTAGGCAAGGCTGCCCTCTAATTGTTTCCTTTTTAACACTATTAACAGATCTCAATTGTCTTTTCAAACATAAACAGCACTTACTCCCTTTCATTCTAATGACAGAGTAACCCCACAGAGAATTATATGCAGACTTCATATGTGAACCTTCATAATATTCTCAGGAGTCATAAATTTAATTATCTAGGGTAGGATAAAATGCTAAAGTGTTTTTCCTAATTCATTTGAATATGAATACAAATGTATAAATAGTATGCCATAAGGAATAGGGCACGTGCTTTTCATTACTACTACTAAGGTAAGGAAGCAGCATATCATCTGCAAACACATGTGCCACCGAGCAGCACTTTTTTAGCCCGTGACAATGGAAGATCATGTAGGGATGAAGGGAGAGATGTGGCTCCTTTCCTGGTAGGCAGCTACCTGGAAAATGCGTTAAGCTAAGATTACTCCAGAGACTACCCTTGGGCATGCTTCTTACCTGTTCTCTTTCAGAATGGAGATGCATTTTTTACTTTCTCCTCCCTTAATGGGTAAGAAAGACCCTTAATGGGTAAGAAAGACCCAATTCAGAATTTTGAAAGGAGAAAAGAATCTGTCACTATCCAGCTATATTCTTCATCCATTGAGTGAGTCTCTCCTACCTCAGGAACTCAGTCCCCATGAACATTTTCTGGATTCTTTCTCTTTTCCTCCTCCCTGGTCAGATTTTCCCAAGACCACCTGCCACTTTGTAAAAGATACATTGTGCTAATTTATCCTCAGATTTATTTTTTAAAGATTCATCTATTTATGCATACAAAAGCTGGGGTACAGGCCAGAGAAGTGGGGGGAAGGGTGTGAGAGGATTCACCAGAGACAGAGTAGGGAACAGAACAGGGAGACTGACTGAAACACAATGCTGAGGGGAGCAGCGGGCGAGGCAGGAGAGGTGCTGCGCCATGTGGGTGGCTCCCTGGCCCGCTGGGGATCGAACTTGTGCTTCAGAGGCTGTAGAGACTGCAGATTGCTTCACGGTGAGGGGCTCAACCCCCTGCACCACCAGGAAGCCCTATCCTTAGAATTTTTGAAATAAAATTTATCTCTGAGTTCAATGCTAAAATAAGCTGGGAGAGGAAATAAGCTGTTTATTGAATGGTAACCTTTCTACCTCAGTTCTTCTTAGTTCTCTAGATCTGGGAAGGTCCTAATCTATGAAAGACTAGAGCTCAGAGGGAAAATTGTTTCAGTGTACAAAAGATTTGGCTTACCACTGTGGAAAGCAAGGCCAGCCCCACCTATGCTCTACAGAGAAGAGAGAACTCTACTAATCAGCTGCAGGGGAATTTGACTGTCAGAGTTAGAGAAAAAAAATTGCAGAATATTAGCATACTCAAGGAAGAAGGGAGCTCAGAGAACCTCAAGTCCAATAGTTTTACTTTGTCTAAAAGCAAAGAGATCCTATGAAGTTGAGAAAATTGTCCTTAGGTTTCAGAAGCAGTTGCCAAAGACAAGATCTCCACCCTGGCTGCCTAGAGCCTATAATTTTACGAAGGAATTTGTTTCATTATTTTTCCAGAAGCATTTGTTTTACTGTTTCAAAAAGAGAGAAATCAGGGTTATAAATGCTTTCCATATTGCATCTTTTAGTTTCTATATTAATGTAATGATCTACACAGCATTGTCCAGTACTTAGGCATGCTGTCTGGCTCTGGTGCCTCAAGGTTTGAGCTTTCTCCCAACTCCATAAAAGTTCCATTACTTTTTGAGACGTTTACTTAACTTTCATCGTAACCAGGAGTAGGTGACTTGAAAGTCCCTACGCACCTGCAATGAATGTTTCTCATGATTCAGCCAGTCTCTAGAAATTATACTTACGTTCTCTTTGACTAGTAAATGGGGAAACAATGTAGGCAGGAAGGTGCCATAGTGTCTGTACTTCCAAGTTGCAGCCTGAGGGTAGCAGTACTGTATAGTCCAACCTGTTTCACTGGTTTGGTGTGCATGTTTACTTTCTGTAG